CCCACAAGGTCACGTGACCCCCCACCCTCCGAGGTCACTTGACCCACCCCCCAGTACCCTTCCCTCCTCCTCCTCAAGAGCTGCGCTCTAATTCGGCGTTACAGGAAGTTGTAAACGGCTTTCATTTTTTTTTTGAAACTAGAACATTTTGATGATTACTCAACGTGACAAAAATACTCGTATAAATATAAAACTTCCCGGCATAATCTACTGGGCTTTCAATAATTTAGAGTAATTTAGAGTAAACAGCTGGGTTATGCTCGAATGTTTTGTCAAACAACATGTTTGGTAACAGTTCCATAAATTGTTTACACACATTGCGTGGCTTTATATGAGATCGGGTGATCTTTCCCACCCTGCTCCTGCCTTATTAAAAAAAATTATAATAATGTTACATAGTGGGGCCTAAATAATTCTTTACATCCGCATAAAGGTTTTAGTATTACAAATGGTTTATACATACAATGTCAACTTGTACTGTGGAAGATACAAACCTTGTGAGCAGAAAAAAAATCCTATTTATGATGACATAGTGACTGAAACGATGACACAGGATTATGACACACTGACTGGCATGATGACACAGTGACTGAAAGTCAAACAATAGTAGTGGTTATAAGACATAAATCACTTTTCATTTATACTCGCACAATATGGTGTCACCCCGTCTTACAGGTAAAAAACATTCCTGACAAATATTTTGGCTTTAAAATGTACATTAAAGCTGAATTCACTGCATACTACCAAAGAACGCCATCTCCTACATCCTGTGTTTCTCGCCCATGCCCTTAAAATAAGACGAGCGCTGCTTTGCTGAATTCTTTATCTCTTGAGCTTGTTTGTTCCTACTCATCGTAATATGCTTACAGTGTAGTTGCATTTGCATGCTGAAGTAGTAGTGGAGCAACTGGGCAATTGTTTCTTCTTTGTGTTCAGCGCATGGAAACGTTATTGTGCATGTGTCAAGAACACTGTCGATTGTGTCTTAGTAGACAGTCTTCTGGCTTTTATTTTGCACGAAGAACTGTTCCGCTTTCTTCAGTAGCTGGAAAAGGTTCTTGTTGGGGTGTGTAAGGCCTCCTCTGTTCTTCACGTTTGTCAGTGCTGCTTTAGTAGAAGTGTTTTCGTCAATGCTGAAAGCGGATCGGCATCCAGGGCAGCGTGTAGTTTTTTTTTTTTTTTTAATTTTTACATAATATGGCATGCAGTCCACAGCCTTGATTTCATGAGCCTTTTTTGTCCAGACATCTTCGCATTCCCAGTCTTCGAGAGAAATTAGACTGTCAAGCTCAGTCTTCACTTGGTCAACGAGGTGAGGAGACTAGGTAGTAACTTGCGATCGGCCCTTGGGATCGCACGACGCCAATGCTACAGGCGAGCATCATTCGATGGAGCTTTAAACAAGGATACTCGCTCTGCGCAGTTCCAGTACCCCGAATTGCAGTTGGGAATGAAGCACGTCTTTCCCATTCTTATAGCATAACTTCTTCTTCGGGTTAATGCTCATCTTCGTGCACGATAATGGCACCGGTGATTGACACAGCACCAAAGCAAAACATGAGGCCAGCCACTGACCGCACACCACCACCACACCGCGATAAAGGCGAGCAAGGTACGCCCCCGACTCCGTGGCCGCCGAGGAGAGACTTCATACCCACGGTGCTTAAAGCCCCTCGACGTGTTTGCGTTTGTCTTGCAAGTAGCGTCAAATGCGCAAGTGCACGAGGCTAGTGGTGCAAAACTATCGATAGCCGCCAGAAATCTGACTATCGATAGTAAACAAACTATCGATAGTACTATCGATAGTCGACTATCGAAAAACTATTGATAGTACTATCGATAGTCGACTATCGAAAAACTATCGATAGTACTATCGACAGTCGACTATCGAAAAACTATCGATAGTACTATCGATAGTCGACTATCGGAAAAATATCATTAATCGACTATCGGAAAACTATTGATAGTCGACAGTCGTAAATCTATCGATAGTACTGTCGACAGTTTACTATCGATAGATTTCCGACACTAGCCGTTTGCGTCGCTCCCTTTTTTTCTTTTTCTTGCTTTTTTTTCAAATCGGACACCAACTAACCCAAGAACTTCCCATCCCAACTTTGGTTCCGCTTTCAGTGATGACGAAGACGGGAGTTTGGGTGAAAAGAGGAGGAAGGTCAGGCGAGTGGTGGTGTGGCAACTGTGTTCGCTCTAGTAGTGGTGCAAAACTATCAATAGTACTATCGATAGTCTCCATAGCCGCCAAAAATCTGACTATCGGTAGTAAAAAAAACTGTCGATAGTACTATTGATAGCCTACTATCGGAAAACTATCGATAGTACTAGCGATAGTCGACTATCGATAGTTCTGCGACACTATCGATAGTTTTTCCAAAACTATCGATAGTATCGATAGTCGATTTATCGATAGTTTTGCATCACTACACGAGGCCCATGTCTCGAGCGGCCTTTGGAAGCAAATGGCGGCGCAGCACTGAAATGAGCGGGCCTTGGAAGCGAATGGCGGCGGAGCACCCGTTCATGGCACGTGTCTCGCGCCCTTCCACAACAATGGTTGGCGGTACTTGTAAAAACGCTTTTATCAAGGGGCTTTAACGGTGCTCACACCTCAGCGCCCTCCGCGGCGGCACGGAACAACTGCACTTCCTTTCACCCTATGTTGTACCGCAGCGAAGGCTAGAAGCGCGAGCTATAGCGTTGGCAGCTGCTTTTAAGGCACGAGAGCTTGTGCCGCCGGGATGTGCCCCAGAGCAAGGAGCTCGCGCTTGTAGCCTTTCCTGCGGTTCATCATAAGCTGAAACAGAGAATACTCCTTGTTCGAGGCTAGTTCCGAACACGATCTGGTCGCTCGCTCCCCGCGGGAAGAGCGGCCAGAGTCACCACCTAAATGTATTTCTTCCACCGTGAGCAGGACCTAGCAGCATCCATCAGTTTTGATAATATCTTAAAGCATTTTACGACTAAAACGCGCAAACTTTTGTTATGAATGTGTCTTAATTTAGCAGGATATGCTATCGCATTAACCTACAATGTCACATAATTCTACTTTATTCTTAATTGGTTGACGCCGAAACAGGATGCTTTACAACCGAATCCGTCCGAACTAAGGTTCGCCTCTCACACCAATAGTATTTTTGCACAGCTGAGCTTGAATAGTTTGTTTGTATAATGTAGTTAATTTTACTGTGTGTTACTGTTTTCATTTGGAACAGCCCTGTTGTTTTGTTGTGTTGAATGTTTTTTTAGAGTCTACCGCATGTGAATTGAAATTGTGTATCGTCTGAGCCCCCGTGCGATTCATTTTCTTTTGTGTTTTGTTATGGCGCTTGTGCCCTACGAGTGACAGCTGTGGTTTCTTTATCGTGGGGGTTTCCACTTTTGTTTGGCAATAAATCGTTTTTGTTGTTGTAAAAGTTATCTCATCTTCTCATTTCTGCCATACTTCAAAGCGCATGTAAGTCCACTTTCACGCAGAGCACTCGCAAATGCAATTACTGCGGTCTACGAAGATATGGATACGATGACACGTAAAAATAAAGTATGACGTTTTGTGGCCTTACCTCATGTTCGGTGTCACAGCTCAGATTAAATGTTTAGGTTCAAACATATTTCAAGCCTTATCATTCTCCGGGCTCCATTCGTAAACCGCAATAATTAGACTTACAAATAATCTGCGGGAAAGTAAACTCAAGGGTAGTTTTATGGTGACACTGAAGTAAACTTGGAAGTCATATTTCGCGGTTAAAATATGGTGTTCTAGTGCACTCCTACTAGGGTACACTAGAACACCTAACCCCTACGGCGTAAGGGTCTCGGTGAGACGAAGGGGGGGGGGGGGGGGAGGGGGCGCTGCAGTGAAACTTGCCCCCCCCCCCCCCCCCTATTGGAGGACCCTGTGCACGCCTATGCCCCCAAGGGCCGCTCGAGAGGCGGGCCTCGTGCGCTGGCACCATTTGAGGTTACTTGAAAAACCAACGCAAACACATCGAGGGAATTTAGTCCCCACAGGTTCTACAGCGAGAGCTCCGTGCTTCGAACGGAGCTCGCGCTCGAGCATTTCTTCACGTGCTCTGATCCGCGGTGCCACAACACACTCGCCCGACGATCCCCCACCACACTTGGTTTAGCCTGTAAGCTAAACCAAATGTGCTACGCTTAGAGTATCGGCACTTTTCCCCCGATATTTTTGGTGGCGCCGCCATCTTGGTGGTAACAAATCAAACGCAACTGCCGATCGTCATGATTTAAAAGTGCGACTTCCTCAGCATAAGTTTCGGTGTCAGGAAGCTCACGTGATATTGCTTTGCTTTGTCGCGAACTGTTTATACATTTGTGGAGGACGGAAAAGCGTTTCCTGTGATTTCAGATAAAGCTTCAGAAAAATGACTACCATCATTTTAAGCACCAAGATGTATATGAAGCGTAGCTTATTTAGTGGCTCTAGTTTAGCGCGATCGCACAGACACAGAAAGAGAACGAACTGCTTGATTTTGCGCTCTTGGCGCTGCTTCAGTGACTTCATCAGCCGGTAGCGTTGGCTGCGCTCCGAACTAAGGTAAAGCAAAGCAAATATTCATATCTTAGGGTTTCGCAAAATAAAAAAAAAGAAATTGCGGGTTCATTTTGATTAACTGAAGATCTTTTGACGTGCAACCGAAATCTCAGATTGGCCTCCGTCGGATTGCGGCCGCCTCGGCCGATATTTAAACCCGATAAATATTAATTCATGCGCCAGCGCGTTGGCTCAGAGACACTGAGGCGATTTAATGTTTTGTGTTTTGTTTTAATATTAGTACCACTATAAAGCCACCGAGGTCGTTTTGAGACATTGAGACATTATGTATCGTTATGTATTTTGAGACATTGAGACCTATTGAGACATTAAAGTATCGTTGAAAGACAGCTCTTTATTTTGATAGTATTTTTATAATCGTAAGATATATAGAAAGAAAGTTATAAGCCGTCAAAGAAGCACCAAAACGTCACGCACGGTGGCGTTGCCCCTTAAGTGTAGACACCCCAGCTGGAATCGTTTTGGGCTTTCGCTTGCATATCCGAGGTTCTTGGAGGGTGTGTATCTCTACATCGCACCCACGACTCTTGGGCGGTTTGCACCAGTTTGCAACCCTGCCATTTTCACCTGTTTTCAGGACCCAGTACGCACACTCTGAAACAAAACAATAGGCCTTACACTTGTCTGCGCTCTTTCGCAAACTTTGCAACGTCCATATCAATTTGCACAATACTCCACCGAAAGGAAAGTTGAAATTTTTAAAAATTAGGCGCAAAAAAGGAAAATTAGGACGTTTTTAGACATTTTTTACAAAAGAGTATTATCCGATATTGTAGAACCTAGCAATCTGCTCAAGTTTTTAAATAAAACTCTATTTCGCGTAAAAACAAAATTCACGAAACCAAAACTGACGTTTTGTTTTGACGTCAAAAAGCGTCTCCTGAACAGGACCAGACGTCAACTATGAACCGTAGGTTGAGGTAGTAATTAGCGATCACAAGCGCGATGACGTGGTGAGCTGTAGCGGCACTTTATGAAAGTGGCCCATACACATAGTACCGTTTGAGAACGTTGTGTACCCTAGTTATACCCTAGTTATAGGGACACGCCCTTAACGGCGGTTAAGCTTCACCGCCGTTGCCACATTATATTTTCAGAGAGCTATTTAAGAATAAGTTAAAAAGCTCGAGGTACACCTAAGCACTTCTTATGAGTTGTGAATACGAAAGCATGCAAGGCCGCTCGTCCGCTTCCTTTTTCGTCTGCCGCGTACCTTTCGTCGCCGGTCAGCGCGCATGCTCCCCTGGGCACGCTGACCTTGGACGCTCCAGGTTAACGGCGCGGTGATGGACACGCCGCGCCATGGGGTGAGCGGTGGTGGAAAGGGACAAGCGCAGCGGCCCCCGTTGACGCGCGCCAGCCAATGATACCGAAGGCGAAATCCATCACCTTTACTTTTTTTCTTTAGGATCGGGGAAACTAGGTGCCGTTTTCGCGCTTCAAACTGATGACGTCAGCTTGCTCCACAGGACAGTTAATGCTTTTGCATTAATAGTGCGTGTGCACAGCTGACTGCTTTCGGGGACCTGCTTCACTAAGGACTCGAGCAGAATATCACTGTCTGCCAATGCTCCAAAATCGCTCCTGCATGCATCTTTCATCTAAATGTTCTGCGTCTAAGAGCAGGTCGCGTCTTCCCATCCTCAAGTATGAACATGGCCAAATCTGCTTGCAATATTATTAGGAGCTCTCAGCATGGTGCACAAACGGCATATCATTACGTTGTAACAGAAGAGACTTGCTTGGTAATGACGGCGCTCGGTAATGTCCGCGCGGAGTTGCTGGGAGAGGAGGATGTTTTAAGGAAAAAATCGTGTCTTTTTAAAATAACGCATTTCACTTTCCAAAAAGTGAAAGTCGTTTACCACTCCCTGTAACGCCGAATTGGAGCGCAGCTCTTGAGGAGGAGGAGGTCACGGGGGTCACGTGACACCCCAGGTCACGTGACCCCCGGGTCACGTGACCAAAAGTTTTCCGCTAGATTTAGCGAGGAAATTTTTTCCGCTAGATTTAGCGGGGAAAGTTTTCCGCTAGATTTAGCGGGGAAATTTTTTCCGCTAGATTTAGCGGGAAAATTTTTTCCGCTAGATTTAGCGGGGAAATTTTTCCGCTAGATTTAGCGGGAAAATTTTTTCCGCTAGATTTAGCGGGGAAAGTTTTCCGCTAGATTTAGCAGGGAAATTTTTTCCGCCACATTTAGCGGGGAAATTTTTTCCGCTAGGATTTGGCGGGGAAAGTTTTCCGCTAGATTTAGCGGGAAAATTTTTCCGCTACATTTGACGGGGAAATCTTTCCGCTAGATTTAGCGGGGAAATTTTTTCCGCTAGATTTAGCGGGGAAATTTTTTCCGCTAGATTTAGCGGGGAAAGTTTTCCGCCAGATTTAGCGGGAAAATTGTTTGCGCTAGATTTGACGGGGAAATTTTTCCGCTAGATTTAGCGGGAAAATTTTTTCCGCTAGATTTAGCGGGGAAATTTTTTCCGCTAGATTTAGCGGGGAAATTTACCCATAATGCACCGCGCGGTTACGCCGACGGCGACGCCGACGGCGACGCCGACGGCGACGGCGACGGCGACGGCGACGGCGACGGCGACGCCGCTCAAGCCGGGAACGGGCCCCTAAGAGCTGCGCTCTAAAAAGTGAAAGCCGTTTACAACTCCCTGTAACACCGAATTAGAGCGCTGCTCTTGAGGAGGAGGAGGAGGGAAGGGTACTGGGGAAGGGGTGAAGTGACCTGGGGGGGTCACGTGACGATGCCGATGATGTCATCAGTGACGTCACTGATGACGTCATCAGTGACGATGACGATGCGGACTCCGATGACGTCATCAGCGATGATGACGATGACGATGCGGACGCCGGTGACGTCACCAGTGACGTCACTGATTACGTCATCAGTGATGGTGACGATGACGATGCGGATGCCGGTGACGTCATCAGTGACTCATTGATGACGGCATCAGTGATGATGACGATGACGATGCGGATGCCGGTGACGTCATCAGTGACGTCACTGATGACGTCATCAGTGATGATGACGATGACGATGCGGATGCCGGTGACGTCATCAGTGACGTCACTGATGACGTCATCAGTGATGATGACGATGCGGATGCCGGTGACGTCATCAGTGACGATGACGTCATCGGGGAGGTCACGTGACCTCGGCGGGGGGGGGTCACGTGACCCTGGGGGGTGGTCACGTGACCTCGGGGGTGTCACGTGACCGGGGGGGTCACGTGACCTCGGGGGGGGGGGGACACGTGACTTTGGGTGTCACGTGACCTTGGGGGTCACGCGTGACCCTGGGGGAGGGCTCACGTGACCTCTGGGGGTCACGTGACCTTGGAGGTCACGTGACCTTGGGATGGCCTTGGGGGGTCGCGTGACCTTGGGGTGACCTTGGTTACGCCGACGGCGACGCCAACGGCGACGCCGACGCCAACGCTCCTCAAGCCGCGAACGGGCCCCTAAGAGCTGCGCTCTAAAAGAAAGTCAAAGCCGTTTACAACTCCCTGTAATGCCGAATTAAAGCGCAGCTCTTGAGGAGGAATGAGTAGGGAAGGGTACTGAGGGGTGGAGGAGGAGGGAAGGGTATTGAGGGGAGGGTAGACCCCTCCTCCTCCTCATCCTCCCCTCATTCTCGATTATGCTCCGGGGGGGGGTCACGTGACCTTGGGGGTCATGTGACATTGAGGTGGCCTTGGGAGGTCACGTTTCCTTGGGGGGGTCACGTGACCTCGCGGTAACGCCGACGGCGACACCGCTCAAGCCGGAAACGGGCCCCTAAGAGCTGCACTCTAAAAACCACAAAGCTTTCAAGAGCCGCGGGGGGGGGGGGGATTTTTTTGTATAGAGCAGTAAACGAAGGCTCGGACTACTTTGAATCTATCCGAGTAAAAAGCAGTCCAACTGTACGTAAGGTGGCAGTAGCACAAGACTAATAAACCGCACCCTGTCTTTCGCTTAAAGGCCGACGTACAACCTCGGTTTTCTGGAGGAAAGATAATCCTGGTAGCTCTCCCCTCTCCTAATCTGCGAGGAAAGCCAAGTTGGGGCAAGCTTAAACGTGGAGAGGATATAGAAAAGGAGGGGGCGGGCAAAAGTGGAAAGCGCGAAGTGTCTTCCACTTTTGAAAGAAGAGCCCTGGTCTAGGCTCTTCTTTTTCGCTCTTCATTCTTTCCGGACAGTCCGATATTCGAACGATAGTAGTTGCACTGCCGTATTCAAAATGTTAGGAAATATAAATTTAAATTCACCTGTTTGTATGAATTAGCGGTTTAAAGAACAAACCTGATAAATCGTTAGTTGATTCCTTACCGCCGTATTCAGAAACCTCACTCAAACTACACTCAAACTGAAAGGCCCCTTCACTTCCTCGAGGAAGGCGCGAGGGCCGGCGCTGGCCAATCGCGACGGCGGATCCGTCCTCGCGATTGGCCAGCGCCGGCCCTCGCGCCTTCCTCGAGGAAGTGAAGGGGCCCTTCAGTTTGAGTGTAGTTTGAGTGAGGTTTCTGAATTCGGCGATTAGTTTGCGATAGCAGGTTTGTATATTATGTACACCGACAAAGACCACCCCACCGCCTAATGACCCAAGGGCCGACTGTCGTCGCGTCGCTGCCATCAGCTCGGAAGGTGGAACCACATGGGTCTCGACCCGGGACGTTCGGTCGTTCCCTTTTGGACGTCCTTGGGTGTCTTTGTGAGATTCGAGTGTCTACGAAGAACGTCGAGACGGTGCATAAGAGGATTCGTAAAAGTCACCGGCGAGATGGCGGTGACTTTGGCCGGAATGGCCAGAATCGAAAGACTATCTAAAAATAGCGGCGAGGTCATTGCTCATGTTTGCGATTTAGGTGAGGTAAGGCAAAGCGAAAACCTCCTGCACCATTCGTTGCTGACTAACGCGCCCGATATTGCAGCTACAACGACATATTACTTTTAAAGCGAGCGGCGCTCAATCACCGGGGCACCGCCACGTTTCCCCGCATCCCTATACCGAGCCAGTCACGTCATTTCAAAATCCCTCTCCTAGGTACTGCGGCTAACTTTAGCCGCGCTTACCGCTTGGCGCAAACGGGCCCAGGTCGTTTTCATTGTACCTTCAAAGCGGTTAAAAAGTCGAGCGGACAAAAGTCGGCAAAAACACAGCTGCGGTGCTTCGAATCAACAGTACCCCTTGTGTGCAGGATCAATAGACCAAAGCCTATTGTTCTGTACGCAAAGGGTTTTCTTTTTGGTAGTTTTGTTTGTTTTTCTCTGTCTTAATTGGTCAAACGTAGAGCCGCATTCAAGCTCTGTCAAGCGCGCGCGAGGCTAACTACAGGCAGTGTTGTAGGCGTTAGCGAAAAAAAGTGACGAAATACATTACTCGCTACTTGCAAAATAAAGAAAAGAGTTACAGACATACGCTACCTCAAAATAAATGAAACGCGTTACCGTGACCAATAAATGTAACGCACGTGACTTTTGCGGGTTTTTTTAAACATAAATTGACGGTAACAGCGTTTTTTTTTTTCGACAGCTTTTTTGACACTGAGACAAAGGGCGAGGGTGTGGGGTTTTTCCTAAAACGGGTCTTTTTTGCGCGGGGAAAAGACTGGTAAAGTTTTGAAGGCAGGTGGAATGAGTGCAATAATAATTACTTAGCGCCTATAACAAAAATATAGAAACACGAAAATATTTGTGTATTCTTTTCACGCCTTGGGAAGATGTTACAAGTTACGTAACTACGTTGCCTGTTACAAATAATTAACTTATGTACGTTACCGGTACTGTTTTGGAAAAGTAACGAGTAGATTACTACGTTACATAAAAACCTAACGCGCTACCCTTTTCGGTCCCCTTTTCTGACACCTACAATTCAAGGTGCGTTTGAACATTCAACACATGGTAGAATAACTTCAGATAAATATATCCCGTACATTTCACTGTTTCTTGTCTTCTACGGTAATTCACGTAGACTCCACAGTTGATAGTTGCAGAATTAGTTTAGAGGCCCAGCTAACTAACGGAAAAGATTTTCTTTGGCACAGACGCATTCAAAATGTCTGCGCAACGCTGAAATTTACAGAATTCTAGGCAATTACAACTTAATGAAGAAAGCTTGAGATTAGTTGGAATATTTGGCTCGACATTACCTGCTAATCTTACTGAGTTGTAATGTGATGTGACCGATAAAAAACCACAAAATAGAATAAAACACTTACTTCCTAATCTGTCTTTTGGTTTCTCTAAAATGCTACAAGAAGAATTCGTGCTCAGAACCTTATATTTCACCTTCCTGTCCTTGAACTCTGAAAAAGAGAAATGTATTTCGGGAAACAAGGTTAGAACAGCTCTTGCTGATTGGATTTTTGTTTGTTTCTGGTGTTTTACTGGTTTAAAAAGACAGATGAATTCTTTGCAAATAGTATTATGTCTGAGATCTACAATAACATACACAGGGTACGCGTGCCCCTTCCAAATTAATGGGTGTCATATGGTACCAGTGATTTTGATCTACTTGACCTCTGATATTCGTAATGCTCTTCTGGTGCAACGTTAAGATTGTTATTGCACTGTGAGCCGACTATTCAAATAATGCTTTAATCGTGGTTAATTTTTAACCGGTTAATCGGTAAGATATTAACAAATCAACAGAGGGTAAAAATTAAACGCTTTCACCAAACAAACGTGGACGGGTACACCTGTGAGCAGGAAAAACGTTGGGAGAAATTCTTACTTAAAGTAACCTGTAGGAGCGAGATTTGTAACTCCAGACGATGTGCAGAAAGCAACACTTGTCGCGGCCATTTTAACGCCGTGCGAGTGTTTATTAAGCGCCGCAGAGACTATACGCGCGAAAGTGGTTCCTATCCACAATGGTGGCAGTGTGTCTGACGTAAGCACCTATCGGCCCATTTCGCTTCTTAGTACATGTTCGAAGCTGCTTGAACATATCGTATTTAAACATTTAATGGATTATCTCGAAGATTATGAATTATTGTTCCGGAAGGGACTTTCCACCACAACCCAACTTATCGAAACCATACATGACCTTTCTTATGCGATTAATTGTCGCGGTCAAACTGACGTAGTGTTTTTGGACTTCGCGAAAGCGTTTGATAAAGTGTCGCACTCTAAGGTATTACTGAAAATTGACGTCATTTTTAAAAATTCAGCCGTCACACAGTGGTTTTCATCGTATCTTTCCTCTAGAGAACAGTTTGTAGAAGTTAAAGGACACAAGTCTAGCCTTTCACCTGTATCTTCAGGGGTTCCCCAGGGGAGTGTTTTGGGTCCCCTTTTGTTTTTAATATTCATAAATGATCTGCATAAAGTCATAACAGTTCCAATCAGACTATTTGCAGATGACTGTGTGATATACCATAAAATAGAAACTCCAGATGACCAGGACGAACTAAATCGTAATCTACAAAAAATTCAACAATGGTGTGATAATTGGCAGATGGTGTTAAATCTTGAAAAATCGGTCTTCATGTCAGTACCTAGAAAAAAATATTTTAGCATACAACTATCACATTGACGGTGTCGGACTTAAAAGAGTAAAATAGCATAAGTACCTAGGTTAGTATTTACACCAGACCTACGTTGGAATACCCACATTGATAAAGTCTTTCTTAAGGCCAACAAAGCACCATGGTGCCTCAGGCGAAACCTTACTAGTGCAACTCCGGAAATAAGAAGCCTGACTTATACAGCTCTGGTAAGACCGATTATTGAGTACGCGAAAATTGTATGGGATCCACATACTGTAGCAAATTGCCATAAATTGGAAAAACTTCAGCGACTTACTTCCAGGTTCATCTTTAACAAATTCGGCCAAGCATTTTCTCCTACAAAACTATGTGAACTCGCAAATCTCCCAACTTTCGAATCGAGGACCAAGTACGAAAGATTGCAATTCCTTTTCCAAATTATACATAACTTTTTAAAGATCAACAAATCGGATTACTTTGAAATCAGCACGAACGAATCCTCAAGGCCTCGCCGTAGCATGTTCATTCGTAATCCATCTGTACGAAATGATTGTTTTAACTTCAGTTTTTTCCCTAGAACCATCAAAGAGTGGAATATGCTGCCCGATTCTGCTGTCTCGTCAACATCCCTGAATGCCTTTTTAGAAAGTATACATAATATTTTCGAATGTGACAGTCGTGAAAAGCCGTAATCGTACAAATACGGACCAAGTTTCTGCTTTCTTGTGAAATGTTAATACCTATGCTGCTTTCAGTTTTGTAACTTTTTCTTGTGCGCGTTTAAGCGTATGAAGCGGTCTTGTGCAATCCATTGTCTTGTTTAATTACTCTTTGTATAGTGGTTACTTTCATCTTTTATTTTTGTATACCCACTCCTGTAATAGCCCAATGGGCTGGCAGTATCAATAAATGAATGAATGAATGAATGAAAAATGAAAGGAGGTCACTCGCGCCGGAAAATATCAACGAACCCCTTTGCATCATGCAGCTGAAGTGAGAATCTGTGAGTGTGAATGTTTTTAACTGTTCTTAACTACACGTCGAGCTTGATTCATAATCAAAATTGCATATTGCGCCGTTTAAAACATTACCAGCAAAGGCAAAAAAAATTTAATTTTGACGTTCTAAAAATATTTTGCATGAAAACGAACGAGATCAATAAATCGATTCATTTATCGATTAAATGGTGATGATGAGGCATTCGAAGCACGGATCTCGCGGTGACTCCCGTTCAAATCTGTTAGCAGACTGTATTTTGTACGATGTATAAGCAGTGTGACTCCGGCTTAAAGTTGCATTACGGGCACGCGGTATTTGATTGGTCGGAGAAACTGGCAGCATTCACCGTTGTTTGTGTCATAACTTATGGACAAGAGTACTTTAACTGTGCACTTTCTGCAAGCATTCGACACGACTGCTTCCTGAGCGTTCGTAGCAGATTTTCTTGCAATCAGTTCCCGTCAAATGCTCAATGCTAGAAACAATGACTAATACATGACACAAGGCAGTGTTGGTTGCGGTGTTCAAAAATACATTTTGCCTTATATGGGCAGCGACAAATTGTTGTATATGCGCCTTCCGTACTTTTGGAGTCCACATAAAAAGTTCACTGCTTTGACAATGAAAAAAGTCGGAAATTACTTTTTGCAGACATCGTATGCCTTGTACAAAAGGGCCAGGGGGGGGGGGGGGTTATTGCACAAGCGGTAAGATAAAGCTCCATAAAAGATATGAGGTAATTCATATATCACGTTCTTATATAGGCCTATGGCCAGAGTAAAGAACTGCCTGAAGGGGAAGAAAATGCATTCGAAACTGAACTGGGAAAGTTAAAGTGAAAGATGTTTTACCTTTTGAAGTCACATTAGGGAACGTAAACTCTAAGGTGTCTTCGCATTCACTTTTCACGGATAGTAAATGGATTGCCCTGTAAAAAATCAAGCAACAGTCCGTTAAGTTATTGTCACGGTTCATTTAGGGTCGAAGCTTAAATGTTAGCTTACGTTCTATTCTCTTCATCTCTGTAGGTCAAAAAGATGCTGGCGGTAAACAGGTTCGCCTCTGTCTTCCACAGCATCCGCAAACATGTGGTCGGTTTTCCAACCAGCCAAGTTACATTGGAAGATCTGCGGTCTTTCCGAAAAGTATCTTTGTCGTTGAGAGTCTTCAACAACTGGAATGGCAAAAATTAGAGGCAGTTACGTGCGATTTATTATTATTCTACATGAATACAATTGGTCTTTCTTGATGTTTTGCTATAGCGGTGGTACATGTTCACAAATATAAGTTGTAAAAATGAAATGTGATCCTCCTAGAAATACGAAAAAAAGCAGACAGCGTCAAGGTAAATGTCTATATTACGAAAGCGCGCCTTGAAAGGGTTACGTTTTTCTCCATTGTAGAGTGTAGGAACTTCGAAACAGTGTAATCCTACACGGTTGCCTCACTCCGTCGACCTTCGTCACGCAGTAGTAAGAAAATTAAAATGGTTGCGAAACTTCACTGCATACACAGCGGTAAGTGTTATAGAACAAATACACCGACCTTTTCATACCGTAAACCAAAATAGTATTTTAGATTACGGATATATTCTTAGTATTTATATTCGATATGATATTCAGTGCACTCTAGAGACGGAAATTTAATCGCAATTGCGCATGTGCCGCGTTTTCGCGTGGCTAAAAGGAAAGCAGGCGGAAAGGCAGAGAGACGATCAACGCTCTCGAAAACTTCCTCGCAGCTCTTATCGCAAACGCGATCCATAGACCATTTGATTTCGATCCAGCTGTTGGAGACTCTCCGTAATACCGCATTTTCACGAGTAATGTTTGCACTTGTTATGAACAAGGCCCTTGCGTCTACTTTCCTGCATAGCACGCTTCCAGCCAATCATCGCGTTCTGCATAAAAACGCAACGAATTACAAGGTCGACAACACGATTTTCGTAAAAATGCGATCTGAGCAGATAACGATTTCGCATGAAGACGTTATATCCGTCCCGTAAATCGCTGCCATCTTTCCGTCGGTCGCGGTGATTAGCTTTCTCCGTGCTCCGCGGCAAAGCAGACCCACTGTACTTGTTGATAAGAAGGACCACTTATTACTCGAGCAAATACGGTACAGGCTTTCTAGTCATATATATCAACAGCTGCCACAATTTGTCGGGTCCTGCGCCAATCAGACACCTTTATTTTAGCGGATTGCCGCCGTAGATACTAAAATATTTATGCACAAAATACATCATCCTCGGTCACCTCTGTACAAACGCAAACCTCGGTACGCGAAGAAACCGATTCGTACGGTCGCTTCAAATGAGCAAGAATTTCGTTGACTCACGCGATGGAGGCCAGGCCGAAGCAAGCATCGGCGGAGCGATACAATCGTTTGTGCGACTACAGTACCTTGAACGAGTCTTTAGGGAGTTGTCGTAGACCGCGTTTCCCCCTCCGCTAAGCAATCCGCAGCAAAGAAGCCGCTGCTGGGCATGCGCGCCGATAGCCTTGACTGTAGAGATCCGGGTATCCTAGCGGGCTGCGGAGGGCGTTGCGCAGCGGTGAAAACGATCTACGAAAATTCTCTTTTGACTGGTGCGCTTTTTAGAGTCCTATGCCGCCCACACAGCAAACGTGGTCCCAAAGGTGCAAGGAATGGCGTCACAGAAGCTGGCCTGTAATGTTTTTTTTTTTTTTTTTTATCGCGATCCTGGTGTTTGCTGCTAGAAGTACTGGTAGGAGGAGGAGGAAATAAAATATACGATCGAATGCGAGATTCACTGCCGTTGCGGGATACCAACTCAATAAAGGGGTCCTGCAACTACGTTTTGACTGTCATTCAATTTGCATCGAACTTGAACGGACTGAACGTAGTAACTTAGTGAAACTTTTCTTTTCTCAAAATTCGCTTTATTTTATAAGTTATAGGCAGATTAGAATTACAAAAACAAGCAAAAAATAACATCTCTCATGACGTCCCTGGTCCTGGCCGTGAACTAGAGGAGGGGTAGTGAGCTCAGCGAGCGCTCACGGCTGCCGCACTCCGTGTCGACGGCTCGAGAGAGCGCCACTAAAGCATGTGCTGGATAGGCTGGATCATAACCTCCTCTGTACTGATAAAGCCTGGCAGTTCGATGACGGAGCCATAGAGTGCCCGGTCGCAGATTTGAAGCGCGAGGATCTGGTAGCACAGAGCATTTCTCTGGGAGTCTGGTATTCAGCGCACAGCTTCTGCAGCGGCGAGGACCCGAAACATGGGTTTCAAACCCGACGAGAAAAGAAGTGGTAGACCGAGGAACACGAGAAGCACGAGCGGACATTCCATCGCTCGTGACAAGTGTGTTTCGGCGTCTTGCCGTAGCGGGGCGCCCGTTACGTGACTACCGTCTGCCGCTCGACCTTTTCACTTTCGGCGGCAGCGTCTCGTGTCGATCTGCCATGCTTTGTCAGTATAGAAGAAGCTATGATTGGATGAAGAGGGCGGCCAGGGCGGCTTGCATTCCATTTGCTGCGCGATTAAACACTACTTCGGCATGCCACATCATTGGCCACAAACGACCGCAAACACGGGGTAAAGATCAGTTCAGAACGGGAGCCACTTCGCGCTGTCAGACCGCCAAACGACAAAACCGCAAGCCGATTCCTGCTCACCGAAGGCCCTCGGAACGCTCGGAACCGGTCGGATCCTACAGCTCAAACGACCGGAGCGCCGCTGCGTACGTCCGGGACCTTTGTATGCTTGCCGCTTCATAGCAATTGCGTGGCGCGCGTGGGCGCCTTATCCCACTGCCCTTTTCTAGTATGCGCCGCCTTTTCCATCACTTATTTGGCGGTGTGTATGACCACGGGTCATTTCTTGTTTCCGTACTTCAGAAACAGCATTTGTTTTTGTTTTTTATCTAAAACGATACACGAAAACTACTTTCGACAAAAAAAAAAATTCAGCCTTTCCACTCTGGTGAAGAAGGAAGAGCAGCGGAGCTGTCTGACGCCGTCAATCATAAATGGCGGTAGCTGTCCAGAGGGTTGTGTCGAGATTTATTTGTCCACGGGCAATAAACTGGGGAAACTAGCCCTTAACAGCGCCGCTATAAAAAAAACAAAAAAACTCAAGCCTTCGAAGTGTCGGTTCGCTTATGGCGAGCTGAAATTCTTGAGCCACGTCGTGAGTGCTCAGGGTGTAAGCCTTGATCCTGCAAGGACATCCGCTGTCGCCGAATTCCCGAAGCCATTGGACAAGAATGCCGTCCGAAGATTCCTTGGGCTCTGCGCCTACTACAGACGTTTCGCGCGTGACTTCGCACGGATCTCTGCACCGCTGACGCATCTGACGAGGGACGACGTGCAGTTCCAGTGGGGAGAGGAGAAAGAACAAGCGTTCAACGAACTCAAGCGAAGGCTGCAGTCGCCCCCTATCCTCGGACGTTTTGATCAGTCGGCGGAGGCAGAAATACACATGGACGCCAGCAATACCGGTCTCGGTACGGTACTCGTTCAACGACAAGAAGGGCCCGACATAGTAATCGCTTACGCAAGCCGGTCGCTGTCTAAGGCAGAATAAGATTATTCAACGACCGACAAAGAATGTCTTGCTGTCGTCTGGGCGATAACCGAGTTCCGTCCGTACTTGTGCGGGATCCTGTTCCGCGTGGTTACAGACCACCACGCCCTCTGCTGGCTTGCAAACTTCAAGGACCCGTCAGGACGCCTCGTTCGCTGGAGTCTTCGACTGCGAGAATCCGACGTAACCATTGTGCACAAGTCTGGCCGCAAGCATAATGACGCCGACTGCTTGTGTAGGGCCCCAGTCGAATCTCCTTCCGACAGCACCGACGACGGCGATGACGCCCGTTTCCTCGGAGCAGATACAGATACCGACATGGGAGCACTTCAACGAGACGACCCGAAACTTCGCGCCGTGATCGACTACCTCGAAGGTCAAGGAAGTTCAGTTCCGCGAGTCTTGGCCCGAGACCTGCAAAGCTTCGTTCTGCTGCAAGGCGTGCTCTTCAAGAAGAACTTCGGACCAGCAACCCTGCGTGGCTGCTGGTTGTGCCTGCCAGCCTGCAAGAAATCTTTCATGCATTCCACGACGACCCGACGGCTGGATAGCTACAGCAGGACGCTCGCCCAGATTTGTGACAATTACTACTGGCCGAGACTCCCGAAAACCGTCCATCTTTACACTCGGTCGTGCCATGAGTGCCAACGACGTAAGCCTCCGACCAAAGCCAGCAGAACTCCTGCACCCGATATCTGCCCCGACTACGCCCTTCCAGCAGGTCGGAATGGATTTGCGTGGGCCGTTCCCAACATCGACGCAAGGAAACCGGTGGATTATCGTCGCGACTGATTATACGCCGAGACGAAAGCCCTTCCATCGGGAACAGCAATGGAAGTCGCCAAGTTTTTCGTCAAGTCCATTCTCCTTCGACACGGCGCACCTGAAGTGCTGATCACAGATCGAGGGTTATCTTTCCTGGAACAGCTGACTCAAGAGGTACTTCGGCTCAGTCACACCAGCCATCGACGAACCACCGCCTATCACCCGCAGACCAACGGACTAACAGAGCGGCTGAACAAGACCGTCGCCGACATGGTTTCTATGTACGTCGACGTAGAGCGCAAGACGTGGGACGAGGTGCAGCCGTACGTTACATTTGCGTACAACACAGCGGTACAAGAAACCACAGGAATGACGCTGTCACAGGTTCGGATGTTAAAGATCCCATTTAAAGAAACAAATTTGGAATATGACTTGGACCGCTGTCCAGGCGTTAGGACCACACCTTGGTGATAGACTTCCTTAGAGGCGGGAGGAATTGAGATCAAAGCATGCCGAAGTTTCGAACAGTGTTTTATATAAAATAATTCAAAAGTAAGGGAAAGGCGCACAGAACGTGCGCCTTTCCCCCCGCGCACCCCACCCCGCGCCCCTTGGTTTGTTCCACTACCCTCGCGCGCCCGGGATCCCGTCTTTTTTTTCTCTTCCTCCGATCTCGCACGAAAAAAAAAAAGAAAATCCTAAGCCCGCGCTCCTGTCCTCGGCGCTCGCGCACCCCACTCACAAACACGGAAACGGACAACACCATAACCATTGAAGGACAAAATTAGTTATTGAATTCTGTGACACTACCCCTTATTTCAAAAAATATTCACGCAGCAATATTAAAAAAAAGAA